AAAAAAAAAAAAAAAAAAAAAAAAGAAAGAAATTATATTGTAAAATAAAATTAAAAAATGGCATACATGTCTGCATCCCATCTCTGTGTTCACCATGCATGTACCAAAAGGAAATTACCCATTATGTGTGGCTTTTGAAACTGTTTTCAAATCAATATGGTAGAGCTGTGTATCAGGCCTTACCAGTTTTTACCAGAAAAGAGCCCTGACATTCCTTCATACGGGGGTGGGGAGGTTTGTCATCCAAGGAGGGACTTCAGTCTTTCTAAGGGTCAATGTGAGCATCCTGGCTTGGCTAGGCTGGTGGCCAATGCTCTTCTGTGTGCCCTCCCCCACAGGCTCCCCAGGTGCACTCTGCTCCTGCCCAGCTGCCCAAACCAAGCCACTGTGCCTTCACTCAGGGCCTCACGGCCTCCGTGCATCACAGCCTGCCCCTCCCCCAGCAAATCAGCAGTCATGAGGTTTCCACTCAGGTGCGAGTGTGTCAAGGCCATCTGCAAGGATCCCTGCATTCTCGGGCTGTGACTGTCACTGCCACCCACAGTATTTCTTCCCTCGTAGCCGAGACAAACGTTGTCTCTATACAGACCTGCGCTTAGTGTTTTCACTGCCCTCGGTCCATCCCCAACTCCTGAGCCGCCTGCCCTGGGAAGAACAGGGCAGATACCGGCATGAGCAGGCTGAGTCCTCAGGTGGGTGAGAGAATACAGATATTCTCTTGTGAGACTAGACACCAATGCCAGGCACTGCATGGCCAGAGCTGCCAAGAGGGCAATGGTAGGCTGGGTGGTGGCCCCTCAGAAGTATGTCCACCTGAAATGTGTAAATATGACCTTACTTATATAAAAAGTCTCTTTGCAGATGTCATGTTGAAGTCTAGGGACTGGATTACACTTTGTGTGACAGCGTCCTTGTGACCGCAGCAGACGGGAGCAATACAGCTGTGAAACTCAGCCACACCTGCAGCTGTGACCAGAACACATGAAGGCACCAGAGGGAGCCCCGCCACCCCTTGATGAGGAGTCTGGCCTCCAAAGCCCTGTGAGAGTCCTTGTGAAAGGCATCAGGTTCCTGCTGTGAGGGTAACCCCAGGATACTCTAGGCAAGGAGCAAGAACCCCAGACACCCCACTTTTTCCTCCTAGAGGCCCTCATTATAATCTGCAGCTATCCTTTTGACTTCAGATGAGAAAGCACATGAAAATTCCCTCAAATCTATCAAAACTTGATCTTTTCTTTAAAAAAAGTCTGTTCATTTGTTTTCAGTGTCTCCTCAGCAATGTGTTTCTTGGGGTGACGACGTCTTATCTATGAAGTGTCTGGGGAACCTTCGGTTAAAAAGGACTGTGACAAAGACAAAATAAAAACAAGCACATCTTCAAAGGCCAGCGCCTAGATCTCATGTGCCTGAGCTCACGTTTGCACAGGTCACTTCTCACCGGGGCTGTCACACACTCCAGCACACCCGGGGATCCATCTGGAGGCTGGACATTCCCCACTGAGTCGTCGTCGGGGATCCATCCCCCGGCGCTCTGGAGGCTGGACATTCCCCACTGAGTCGTCATCAGGCACACTTCTCCCCTTTGTTTCAGCTTCTGGGTGGTTCCTGCTCCCTGAGCTCGTGGCCGCCTCTTCAAACCCAGGAGCATGGCGTCTCTCTCCATCCCACCCTCTCACCTACCTCAGCTTTTCCTCTCTCCCTCTCCTACGGACCACTGTGGCTGCACTGGGCACCTCTGGAAACCTAAGCAGGTCCTCATAGCCACATCTCACCCTCTGCCAGATAAGGCAACCTTTTCACAGCTAACAGGATGAGGACACGCGCATCTTCAGGGTCCTTACGACTCCAGGGCACAGTTGGATACACTATTAGATAACATGGTGATCCCGAGTGTCGTAAAGGAAACCTACAGACAGGGGACAGGAACTACCGTGAGTAGCTAGAGCTGAGAATGAGGACACTGCTCAACATTTTGAGACCCGGCTAGGCAGTGACTGTAACAGGCCAGCAGGCCTGCGGTCTGAGGTGAGCTAATGGAAGGGTCTTTGCCCTGGAGCCTGGTTTGAGCGCAGATGAGCCCAGTAATTTTGAGTATAGACCTGTGTGCAAGCTCCTGAGGAACAGTCTGTGGGAAGAAAAGGGAAGCTGCCTGATGCATGCTTAGGACGCACTTAGGACGTGTGCATTGCAGTGCAAACCTGGAACCGTGAGGGAGAGGAGCCTGCCCAGACGAGGGCGGTCACAGCTGGGGACACTAGCACCATGGCCAGAGCAGCCCTCCCCACAGTGGGCAGATGACTGCTTGGGAGGAACGCTCAGACAGCCCAGAACACAAGGACCCCGGTTAACGTTTCCTGATCAAGCACGCACTAATTCTATGACACACCCCGACTGTCTGTGCCAAGCTCATGTGCTTCCCGAGCACTGCACCCCATCAAATAAGCCCTCATCTAAACCACTGTTAACAGGCAGTCAAATCACCGCTCTTTATCTTCCCTATTGTGAACGCAACAAGCACACCCGTGCCTTCTACAGGTTAGACCCAGACTTCACAGCTGTGAGAAACAGACCTCCACTGTTTTAAACACCCAGTCTGCGATGCCTTGTTACAGATCCCTCCCCCTAAGCAGGCCCAGCATCAGGAGGCTCCTGCCTTCCTTAAATGTGCAGCCAGATGCACTGCCTGACCCTCCCCCGCCCACAGACCCACTGAAGTGAAG